ATAAAACCAAATGAGTTGTAACCATTTCTATGTCTTCTACAGTCAGTTAGTTATGGTGGCCATCTTGAACTGGGTCAAAAAAGATGATTTGACGGCGTTCAGGTATAAAAAGCTTGTGCAGACGTTCAGCAGCGTGGAAAACGCTCTCCACTCGTCTTCAGCCTGTCAGCTGCCTCCCTGGTGTCTTCTGTTATTATTTTCCTCTCCTCCTCTTCTTTTCTTTGTGGCATCATGAATAATTTGTGTCCACTCCATGTCACGCCATGACAGCTGTACAGTTGGTTTGCAGGCTGTTTTCAGATCAGGTGAATAATGAATAAGCTCGGGCAACAAAAGAGCTGTCTGAGCCCTGTCCTCTCCTCCGCCTTAGTGCAGTCAGCCAAACGGTTACGGCTGGGGGGGGGGGGGGGGGGGAGCAGGAACTTTCCCAGATAAACAGTTCAGTTTTCTGTCAGTAATCAGTGCTTGTTTCTCTGAAGCTCGCTGCTGCAGAGCCACAGCAGTGTGACGTCACAGTGCAGCCCAGCAGGTCAGACCTGTGTGAGAGCTGCTGAGTAAATAACATCTTATTATGACAACATCAGAGCGCGGCCCCCCAGGGAAACAATCACATTCACCCTCACAAACGCTCAAATCTGCAACCACACGTGAGCAGGCCGCAGCAGCTCGGAGGCCGCATGTTTTTACATTTTAAATTTATCTGCACGGAAAGGTCTGTTAGCAAAATATATGTGGGCTTATTGCAATGAAACCTTCATGAGATTAGTCCCTGGATGTACATCTACACTAAACTGACTTTAGAAAACAAGAAACAATGTAGATTTTAATCAGTTTTATATAAATTGCACTAACGGGGGTGGTGGTAGTTGAGAGCTGCCTGAAAAGCAGCAGATTCAGCATTTATTTCACAGCTTTGTCATCCGTTAAAATGTCTTTGTGTTTTAAAGACAAACATGGTACCCTGATGTCGCCCGTTGCTCAGTAGTTTGGAGTGAATGTTTGTAGTTTTCCACGTGTGTTTTTCTGGACTGGAACTGAACAGGAAGTAAACTTTAATGTCTTTGGTACAACATGTTCAAGATGGTACTGTGGAGGAGAACAGAGGCAGATTTAGTTTCTTATTAGAGGCAGCACAGGGTGACAGGTCCTGACAAGTGGAGGGAGACATTTTGCCTCCCACCAGGAGTGGAGCCAGGGGGTGGCCAATGGTGGCTCAAGCCACCATAGATTACAGGTGCTTATCATAAAATTAGAATATAGTGAAAAAGTTGATTTATTTCAGTAATTACATTCAAAAAGTGAAACTTGTATATTATATTCATTCATTACACACAGACTGATATATTTCAAATGTTTATTTATTTTAATGTTGATGATTATAACTGACAACTAATGAAACCCCAAATTTAGTATCTCATAAAATTAGTATATTGTGAAAAGATTCAATATTGAAGATGCCTGGTGCCACAGTCTAATCAGCTAATTAACTCAAAACACTTGCAAAGGCCTTTAAATGGTCTTTCAGTTTAGTTCTGTAGGCTACACAATCATGCGGAAGACTACTGACTTGACAATTGTCCAAAAGACGACCATTGACACCTTGCACAAGGAGGACAAGACACAAAAGGTCATTGCTAAAGAGGCTGGCTGTTCACAGAGCTCTGTGTCCAAGCACATTAATAGAGAAGCGAAACAATGTGGTAGAAAAAAAGTGTACAAGCAGTAGGGATAACTGCACCCTGGAGAGGCTTGTGAAACAAAACACATTCCAAAATGTGGGGGAGATTCACAAAGAGTGGACTGCAGCTGGAGTCAGTGAAGAGAACCACCACGCACAGACGTATGCAAGACATGGGTTTCAGCTGTCATATTCCTTATGTCAAGCCACTCTTGAACAAGAGACAGCGTCAGAAACGTCTCGCCTGGGACTGCTGCTGAGTGGTCCAAAGTTATGTTCTCTGATGATAGTACATTTTGCATTTACTTTGGAAATCAAGGTCCCAGAGTCTGGAGGAAGAGGAGAGGCACAGAATCCATGTTGCTTGAGGTCCAGTGTCAAGTTTCCACAGTCAGTGATGGTTTGCGCGGCCATTTTTAACTTGTGTTGTTTTTATGAGCCTAATGCCAAAGACAAAGCTCCATTTCATTGAATGTTTTGGACAATAAAGTTGAATAGATTAATTGATCAATGTTATCTACTGGTGGTCCACTGTCTTTTCTGAGGTCCAAGGTCAATGCAGCTGTCTACCACAAAGTTTTAGAGCACGTCATGCTTCCTGCTGCCGACCAATTTTATGGAGATGCAGATTTCATTTTCCACAGCACCTGCACACAGTGCCAAAGCTACCAGTACCTGGTTTAAGGACCATGGTATCCCTGTTCTTAATTGTCCAGCAAACTGGCCTGACCTTAACCCCATAGAAAATCTATGGAGTATTGTGAAGAGGAAGATGTGATACACCAGACCAGACAATTCAGAAGAGCTGAAGGCCACTATCAGAGCAACCTGGACTCTCATAACACCTGAACAGTGCCACAGACTGATCGACTCCATGACACGCCGCATTGCTGCAGAAATCCAGGCAAAAGGAGCTCCAACTAAGTATTGATGCTGTACATGCTCATACTTTTCATGTTCATACAAAGTACTTTTCAGTTGACCAACATTTCTAAAAGTCCTTCTTTTTTTTTGGTCTTAAGTAATATTCTAATTTTCTGAGATACCGAATTTGGGATTTTCGTTTGATGTCACTTATAATAATCAACATTAAAATAAATAAACATTTGAAATATATCAGTCTGTGTGTAATGAATGAATATAATATACTGTACAAGTTTCACTTTTTGAATGGAATTAATGAAATAAATAAACTTTATCATGATATTCTAATTTTATGACCAGCATCTGTAATCTTTGACCACACCAATCATTTAGAAAATTATATAACTATGTAAGCAATAAAAAGCTAGAAAGCATAAGTTTCCTCCAATGATCAGGGTGGCCAGTGGGCAGCTGTGGCTGAGTGGTTAGAGCAGTCGTCCTCCAATGCAAGAGTTGGGGGTTCGAATCCACCAGCAGTCACATGCTGAAGTGTCCCTGGGCAAGACACTGAACCCCTCATTGTCTCTGATGTGTGTCCCATCGGTGTATGAATGTGACCTAAAGCACTGATTAGTCTCTTTAGAATGATTTGTTCAATTAGCTTTGTAGAGATGTAGTAGAGTGCTGTATGAATGGGTAAATGAGTGTAGTGAATTGTAGTGTAAAGCACTTTGAGTATCTTGATAAGATACAAAGGTGCTATATAAGTACAGTCCATTTACACATATGTGTGGTGGCAGCCATCTTGGATTTTGACGTGGCAACCCAATTTTGGATAGTCACCTTTCTTACACATAAATGCAGCCACACATTAAAATTGAAATCAGCATCTCACTTATTTTTCAAGTTATCATGCTCAAATTGTGCACGGACAGATGGAGGGTATGTGTTCACTCCATGACGGGGCGACGACAAAAGCATTTCTTGTTTGAGTCCAACTTGTGCAGCTTCCTTATTTGCAAAAAAACAACAACAAACAAACAAACAAAAAAAAACAACTACACAAAATAAAATCTAGATCCGGCAGCAAAGTGGTTCTGTAAAGTCTCTCTTTTATTATTCATGTTTAATTGTGGATTAATTATAGATCGTGCGAAGCTCGGCCGTGAATGTTCTGACTGTTCAGTCACGAGGAATCACTCCGTGTGCGGTTCTGCACCTCTGGGCCCAGATGCAGGCCTGGATCCTAAGCCTGACTGCAGCGTTCTGATTCCTCGCCCTCTGGAATCGATTGGCCCAGAGTCCATTCATATTTCATATTTCATATGCCCCAGGGCTGGGTGTGTGTGTGTGTGTGTGGGGTAGGGTGGGGTGGGGTGGGGGGGTGGGGGGTGGCTCTTACAAAGAAAAGTAAACCTGAAGAAATCTGGTTGCCCTCACGGTTTCTCTCTGAGACAGTTTTCAGAGAGAGAAAATATCTCATTGTGTTTTGTGCTCAGACGATTTGTGTTCGGTTGTTTCCTTCTTGCTCCAGATGTTACAGCAGGATCACATCAGCCTGATACTGACGCAGCAAAATGAACAACCTCAGCTGCCATTTTACAGCCCCCCCCCCCCCCCAGATTTTCTAATATTCTTTAAAAGAATGCTCATCACCCGCCAAACCTTGTAAACTATGTTCTGCACAATATTATGTTGTTTTGTCAAACCTGTTCAGACTTTGTGTTGGGAATGACTCTCAGCTACTACCACACACAGCTTCAGCTCAGCAGCTGTAAAACTGACCAAGTTCAAGCAGATACAGATTGTATTTCATATATCAGCTGGCTATGACGGCCATCTTGGATTGAGTTGGAACCTAAAGTTAACGACTCATAGATATTTATTTGTTGAAAGTTTTTTTTAAAATCTGTCCAGAACTTCATATTTTGATAGGTGGATAAAAAAAGATTTGAAAGTTTGTGATAAAGATTGTTTTTGGTGGTGGATAATAATAATAATAATAATAATAATAATAATAACAATAAATGCACTGATTTTTGCTGTAAAATTGACTTTATTACAGTTTAAAATTTGTTATAAATTAAATATTTCACTGTAGTTTTGACTTTTATAAGATTTGATCTGAAACCCAGAAAAACCCTGATGAGCAGGACCCCCCCCCCCCCCCCCCAGCTGCTGCTGACTGAAATCTGTTTGACTGAAAACAACAAACTCCTGTTTTCTGCAGGAGTGCAGATTTTAATCAGAATACTTTATTTACGCTTCAGATTTTTTTGTCTCTTTGTGCTGAAGGAGCAGATCGTCTGATGTTTTTTTTTGGGGGGGGGGTGGGGGGGTAGTCTTAAAAATAAACTAATGACTAAAATAATAAACATTAAATAAAACAACTCATTCAGAAGCGTTTCAACAACCTTTCAGAGATGGATCCCCAAAATCCTGAGACAAGTCCTCCTCAGTGGGGGTTGGGGTTCTGCCCCCGGTCCTATTTGAGTCCGTGCTGCGTCTCCTTGTGTCTCCTCAGGTCCACCTTCCTCTGGAAGCCCCTCCCACACAGGTCACAGCTGAATGGCTTGTAGCCCGTGTGCTTGCGGCTGTGCGTGATCAGGTTGGAGCTCTGGCTGAAGGCCTTCCCACACACCTGGCACTTGTGTGGCTTCTCGCCTGGAGGCAGAATAATTTGTTTATTTGTTTGTTTGTTTGTTTGTAACACTAAAGTTGGTTTGAGTCCCAGGTCTGGGTTCTTGCCTGTGTGGATGAAGGTGTGCTTCTTCATGTCGGACTTCTGGTGGAACCTCTTGCCGCAGTACTGGCAGGGGTAGGGCCTCGTGTCGGAGTGGATGAGCAGGTGGGTGGAGAGGGTGGAGGAGCGCTTGAAGCTTTTCCCGCAGATTTTACAGTCGAAGCTTCTTTCCTGATAAATAAATCAGAAACTTGAGTTTGTTTGGTCCAGCTTAGAGACAGGAACCCTGCAGCTTAGAGACAGGAACCCTGCAGGGGGTCTGGACTCGTACCTGGGAGTGCACGGCCTTGTGCTGCTCCAAGCTCACCGCGTGGCCGAATGTTTTGCCGCAGATGTCGCATGCGAACGGCCGAGTGCCGCTGTGAGACCTGCGCACGTGGACCTCCAAACCGTGTGGGGTGGAGAACATCTGCGGGGGTGGGGTGTGGGGGAACATGCTGCTAGTTAGTGAGACCTCAGATGCCAAAAATAAAAACTCTAATGAATTATTTTATTAATATTCACAGAGAAACAGAAATTATGTTGATTTACAAAAAATATTTATTTAAGACACATTATTATCATCCCTACTCTCTATCAGGAGGTTTACAATAATTATCCATACATACATACATACATACATACACACACACACACACACGCACGCACGCACGCACGCACGCACGCACGCACGCACGCACGCACGCACGCACGCAC